TGTAACTTACTGAAGTAAATAAATACACTATATAGTGATGTCCGACCAAAAATGTGGTGGTCCTTTGGGTTTAATTGGTCGTACAATGAGATCTAATGTTGTTAGAATAGTTACTTTTTAAGTAAATAAATACATATCCGCCTATATTTAGTGATCGACCGATATATCGGGCCGATATTTGCGTTTTTTACGTGTATCGCAATCGGCCGATACACGGCTGCCGCGTTCGCCGATAGTTCTTTTTTCCCGGCGTTATTTATAGACAGGCGTTGACGGGCAGCTCTGTGCTGCTGCTGGAGATGCTGCAGTTCACGTGCCCCGCCCTCCTCCACTAGCAGAGTGACACCTGCTCTTCACGAGAATGGTAACTTAAACTTTCAAAGGATCTTTTAAATGTTTGACTGCCGAAATATTGCCAAACACTTTGAAAATGGAAACACGGTGCTCTATAACTGTTATGTGCTTGCAACTATATAGCTAAGCAAATTTGTAGGTCCAAATGGAAAACGCGAATGTCTATAAAACTTAACTGCTAGCCATTGTATTAGGGAGCAGCAAATAGCTTAGGTGTGGGCTATCCGTTCAGTATGCATTAGGGCCGTCTATGAATATTCTACATTGGAATATATATTAATTTGAAACTGAAAGGTGAAAATTAATATTTGAACGTGGAAAAACACGCCCGCGGTTGCAGACTAAAGCCCGGTTCACACCGCCAGCGACACGCAGCGACAAAGCGACAACATCCCATTCATTTCAATGGAGCGCTGGCGACATCCGGCGACACGAGCGACAGTGACCGTTGGCGACAGAATGTGGGCGTGTCAAGCGACAAGAGACAAGCGACAAAAGTTGAGAATTTTCAACTTTATGCAAATGAGAAGCGATTTTCGCGAGCGACAACCAATCGGAAAGAAGACTTTCAGTGGAGATCAGCTCACGTCACCGTCTCGAGTGCAGGCAAGACAGAAAGAAAGAGTTTGAGGACGATTTCACTGTTTTATATGATTTGACTGTAACCACATACATGGATAATAAAATAATGCATGGAAAAGAAACTGTCGACAGTGAGTTTAATTCATACATTTAACGTTATAGTTCGAGTGTTGTAATTATATGATGCACGTTAGCACTGCTGCAGTTCATTTTAAAATTTCCCCTGCATTACATTGACTATTAGGGACAAGAAAATTGATTATTTGTCAAATTCGAATGACGTTTTTATAATTTGTGACCGTATGAGTGAGTTTAATTTGTTCATTGATCGATCGTTGATCTAGTAAATGATTTAATCCACTGAACAAAGCTGTGGAGATATAAAAACACTCTCCCAACAGCATACGGTTTCTTTTTAGCCTTAAAAGTCATTTATTCCCAGTCAAATTAAAATTATATATCACTTGGGATGATCTCTTGTATAGATATGGCCAGACGTGCAGTCTACCAATAACACAAGAGCGACTGCACTACGAACGCCCACAAGCGACATCACAGTACAGAGCCTAGCGACACACAGCGACAAAATCGCTGGCGGTGTGAACGGGGCTTAATACCGTTACCACAGCTCGCTCGGAGCGCTCACTTATATACTGTGAAACTTTAATCACTGAATGAAGCCTGCTATATTTGGGACAAGAGTCGCAACCTTAAATTGCTTGCACACAACTCTTGATCAGCACTCAAAATTTGTTTGTTGTTGTTCATTTAACCGACGCGCAGCAGAGAGCGTGAGGGAGAGAGAGAGAGAGAGAGAGAGAGTGCCTGCTACTAGCCCGGGCGAGAGAGTGAGCTCTGCGGTCTTGGCCATTGGTTGATTTACTTGCTTTTTAATATGTTGTCAAATATGTTTAAACTCAAATAAACCATCTAATACTAGTAGTTATGTCTCTTTGTATTAATGTGTCCTGTTATTGACGTAATGCGCGTCAATGACAAAATGCGCAATGAGATGTTCAAATATGTTTTTTTAGAGGGAATATGCAAACGCCATTTGAGCAATTTCAACAGCCCTAGTACGCATACGGTAACGAACTCTGGTCATGGGATTAAGTAATGCCAACGTTGTTCAGTGCTGTTTGTGGGAGATTTATTCAGCGCTCACCTGGCTGAGGTTTGGACGCGTGTGGTGTGCGTCTCCCTCGCCATCGCAGTGATATTACAGACTAGACATGCTCATTTTATGTAGAAAAATTGATTGTTTCTTTTAAAATGAAGTACAATGTGCACTGTGCACTTTATTATGCTGGTTGCTACTGTGCGCAATAGTGTAATTATTTAATTTATGCTTAAATATTTATTTTCAGCACTGAACTTGTTTTTTTGTTTTATTTGTTAAATTGTTTATCTACTTGTTCTTGTTCTACCTCACATGTTTTTAATATTTGTTAAATATTATTTTTTGAAGTTAGTTAAATGTTACTTTTATTAAATTGAGACCTGCAACATTTGTTAACATCACGTCATTTTTATGATGAAAATTGAGGGAGCAAAATGTATCGGCTCAAAATATCGGCTCAAGAAAATCGGCAGCCCGTATCGGCCATCGGCTAAGGCTGATGGGGAAAAAAAATCGGTATCGGTAATAAAAAAAAATCCATATCGGTCGATCCCTACTATATATATTGCTTATGTACAGGAGTGGTCCAGCGGCAGGACTTCCAGAAAACGTGAGCGACAGTTTAGCCAATCACAACACACCAACCCAAACTAACCAATCAGAGCCCACTGCCTGTTTCTGAGGGAGTGTTTTCATAGACTCAGGAAGTCAACCGCTCGTTCGAGGACAGAGGAGAGCGCGGCTGACGATAAACGTGAAGTTTATGAAAAATAAGACTTTTAAAAAAAGAAAAACCACGAATACATGTTATATTGCACCCCATAAACACAATCATGCAAAGAAAAAAAGCAGTCAAGCCCCCCCTTTAAGACAGTGATTTAAGACAGAAATCATTTCATACTTAAATATTGAATATTGATTAAAAAAAAACATAGCTTTATTTATGCAATTGTAAATGGAGTGTAAATATTAATGCCACTTCTGATGCCGCTTCTGTGTCTAAATTACTGTATAATTTAATTTGAATGTTAGTATTTGACGTGATGCATAACTATAAATGTCCATATATAGGTGAAAATGCCCCTGGAAATCAATTTAAAATATTGCACATTAATTAATCATTTCCTCAGGAATTTCCTCCAGCGCACGAAAGGAATGAGGAATGTTGAAGTAATAGATTATTTTCCTGACCTTTAAATAAAATTAGGACTCATCTGGATGGTTTTATGTATGAGAGTACATTTCCACCTATAAAGCTATCAGCATATGCAGATGATATTTTAGTTTTAACCAGTGGACAGGATGATATTGACAAGCTGGTTGATATTGTTAACATTTATGGAAAAATCTCATCTGCAAAAATAAATTGGGCCAAAAGTTCAGCATACAGGGTTGGAGAATGGAATGAAGGAGAACTGGTATTACCGGGTGAAATGGTCTGGTCACAAAGAGGTCTGAAGTATCCTGGAATTTTTTAGGGTGATGAAATCATAATGAAAAGAAACTGGGAAAGTATTGTCGAAAATGTAGAAGGAAGATTTGAAAGGTGGAAACGGCTTTTACCCAAAATGTCCTTTAGGTGGAGAGCATTGATTATTAATAATTTAGTAGCCTCCTCACTATGGCACAGAATAGCAGCTCTAGAGCCTCCTGAAGGGGTTCTTGGAAAGATACAGGTTAAGATGATCAACTTCTTTTGGGATCGATTACCACAGAAAGTGTTGTACCTTCCAAAGGGAGAGGGTGGTCAAGGGGTGGTGGATCTAGCTATCTAGTGAGCAGGAAAGTAGCTTTTAGGCTACAGTTTGCCCAAAGGTTTTTATACTGTCCTAATGTTTCATGGTTTGGACCAGCCTGTTGCCTTTTGAGTAAGGTTGGAGGGTGGGGTTTCAGAAGAAATATTTTTTGGACAGATTGTAGGAGTTTTAATTTGAAGTCTATCTCATCTTTTTATGAAAGTTTAAGAAGAGCATGGTGTTTGGTACAGATTAAAAGATCAGTGTCATATCAGTCTCTGTATTGGTGCTCGACTTGATTTATGTGGAGATACAACTTTGTGGTTGATGCAAACTTTAACAAAAGCCAAAGTTGTTCAAATGAAGGACTTAATAGAAGTGGCTGGTACTGCGATGGACAATGTTGATGCCTTTGCACAGAGACTTGGAATTAAATCAACAAGAACAGTTAATTTTTATTGAAAAAGTGGCGGAAAAATTTGAGTGGAGACGACTGGAACTTTGTCAAGTCAAGCTCTTCCTGATAAAACGGACAATTTTCCGTGTATGGTGATATCCAAAAGTGCAATAGAATAAATTGTAAATTGCAAATTGTAATAAAATTACTTTTAACACCACCTACTATGTGGCCTTTTTACCCTAAACTGATCATATTTTTTAAACTCCAAGTAAATTCAGTAAATAAAAGTAAATTAGGTAATCAACCCTCACTGGTCTCGGTCTCGACTCGGACTCGACTGTCTCTGGACTCGGACTCGAGTGAGGTGGTCTCGACTACAACACTGGTCTTACTAATGTAGTGTTTATATATTTTTAATGTTGTGTAGTTAGTTAATAAAGGTGTGTTAAATCTCTCTCTCTCTCTCTCTCTCTCACACACACACACACACACACACACACACACACACACACACACACACACACACACACACACAGTGTGTAAAGACCAGTGACCCGACTACTGCGAAAACCGTGCAGTATGAGCTCGGCATTATAGAGATATATTATAGAGAAATGAGACGCTCCGGTTAGTCTGTTAGTCGCGAGGCGGATGCGATTCAATCCCAAATAACGTTCGTTCATTAATGTTAAATAAAGCATTGCAATGTTACTTTCAACAACGGTTAATTTAGTGTACACACAAACACAATGGCATCGAGTGAACATTCTGCATTGATTAAGACACTTTAAATGCTTAAAACACAAACCTTTCTTCAGCAGAATCACAACAGATGCAGGAGCGGCGCAGCCTTATGACGTCAGAACACCAGACCAAAATAAAAGTCCCGTTCACAAACTGCTGTATGATTTTATGTATATTTGATGCAAATGTGGTTTACAAGTTAAAAAAAAAAAACGAATCTCTATCATAAACTCAAAAATGCCTGTTTAGCATCGTTTATTGTTGCTGAAATTGATCAAACCGAGAAAGCACCAGGGTTTTATTAAAAAATTAAAAAACGGCTTCAATTGAATTGAATTGAATTGAATTGAATTGAATTGAATTGTTTATTGATCCAACAATCAGCTATCTCATATTCATATGAGTGCTGTTCTTCCTGTGGTCAAAAATCACTATTACATGTCAATTTTTTACAAAATAAACATACATTCATACAACAAACTAACCCTAAACCATACAACAAACATCCATAAACAAAAACATTTAGTAGAAGATGAACTGACAATTATTCCTTAATTTAAGTTGGTTAAATTTTAAATCAACATCATGAACTAAGAGCCCACTTATACTTAGGTCACAATCTTTCACTTACATAAAACATTCTTTAACAAAACAGAAAAAATAAATAAAAAATAGGAAATCATATACAAACTTGAGTAAATAAGTACAATTTCAGTTTAATTTTAAAGACCCTCTTACTAGCTTCATTCAGCAAAAATGGAAACTACAGTCGTTGGTAGGATCACTCTGATTTCGTTTTCAGCTTATGTTCAAAACAATCACGTTTAAGCCACTGAATTAGTTTAGTCCGGTTATACGTACAACCGCGAACAGCACATGTTGTCCCTGAGCTCCGTAACGACATCTCTCATAAAGATTTGCGTCTTTAAATAGTAAAATAATTCTCCGAAAAACAGCTAGCCTCTTCGCTAACTAACACACAAAATACCATTGGAATGCTACTCCCGCCGCCTCACCGGAAGTTTCACCCACTTTATTTTTTACAGGAGCGCCCCTCGGAAACTTGTGGATAAAATTCAATATAAATTCTCGGTATTGCATTGGACTCTGCGATCGCCGGAAGTTATCGAGCATCCCTAATGCTTCACCGGAAATACTGCCGTGCATAAAGACCTGTTCTGACAGAAGTCGATCTATTCCTTTGTTGGTAAATGTGACTGCAGCTTATTGTTGTTATTGTAAATTTTCACTTTCCGGTATGGAGGAGAATCGGAGAGTGTTGTGTGACACACTGTGTTTTTTTATTTCAACAAATGAAATGACAACCAAAATCACATCCATTGAAGCTTGTAAACAGTTTACAGATACAGAAACTTCAAAAACACTTAGCAATGTAATTATTTCATCGAGTGAATGTCAGTCAGTGGGTTTAATCCGTGACACTATTACTAGATTTGCTTTTCCCTGTCACCTCCTAAACCAAAGGGGGATTTCCCTCTGTATATATGGGTGATTCTTCAACTATGGTATTCTTTGAGCTACAGTTTCAGAAAATAAAAACATTTCTACAAACAGTTTTTTAGTATCAGTTGGTTTCTCAATCTGTCAAGAAACCTTCCCATAAATTGGCTGCGGTGATTTGTATTGAATAATATCTATATATGTATATTGGCATTTTTATCTGACAGCCCAAGAAAACAGTCATTTCCATCACATAGCAAAAACATGTGTTTTGAAGGGAAAATAATTAAAAATCTTCTGTAATAAATATATTTGATTAAATAGCCCACACATCTCTGATCAAATTTGCAATTTATTTATTTTTCAGAAATGTAACTGTAAAGATTTTATGATGTTTACACTAAAAACACCTAAAACTAGATCACTGGAACATTTAATTTACTTATCATAGCTCAAAATCATGTATTTATTAAAGTGTATAGACATATCTTATACCATAACTGCTCAATTATCAACACCACTGAATATAGTTGGTTTGATTGTATGTTTTTTTATATATATATATATGTTTTACTTTAAAATATGTGTTGTGGTGGAAATGACATAGATAGGCAACTTCCAATTTTTCTACTGCTCTATGTGCTGAACCAAAGCAAATCAATAAGCAACAGTATTAGTAAACAAAAACATTTTAATATTTTTAATGAAAAACAATTAATTAAAAAAACATGAATCTTATCAAACTTATCTATTGTTCTCTTATTTACCAACAATATTGTAGCAATAATAAATAATACAATATTTCTTACTACCTTTACTAAATTTTGTGTTGTTTTTACATTAACGTTTTAGTATTATAGCCCAAAATAATTTGCTGTTTAGCACGAACAATGTCATTTCCACCACAACCTGTCTTTGCCACCACAATGAACACCGTGGTGGAAATGACATTTCCCCACTTTTACTCTAAAATACCATGCTATGTTAGCCTGTCGATATTAGTATTACAGTTAGCATTAAATATACACAAATTCCACATTATTAAATTGATTTTATCCAGTTATTTTTACGTCCATGTGAAATATGAGCCGTTTGGAAATGACGGCCAATAAACATGTTCTCAGTTTAGTCATATTTACCTTGACTTTCCTTCTTTTCATTGCCCCCGGGTCGCCACAGATTGTTTCAGCATTCAGTACACAGATGTACAGTATATTAATATTACATTAAGTAGACCTACTCCTCTCATAAATTGCAATTTACTGTCCAATATTATGTAGAAAACTTATAGAGTTTATAGAGCAGGGGCTGGTGATAATAATTTCAGCATTAAGTTGTACTGGAGTAAAATCAATTATATTCTATGTTTTGCGTTAAAATTATTGTTTTCTTTAGTAATTTAGTCAAGTTTAAGTCTTGTTTTTATTGTCGTTCAATCATATACAGTTAGAACGGTATACTATGAAACGAGACAACGTTCCTTCATAAGTGCCTGAGCAAATGTGTGTGCAAAAGTACTAAGTAGGAAAATCAAATTAGATAGAATGGAGGATTTTAACTGTGACGAGATGATTGACAGGGCAGTTTACGGTGACGGGATGCACGCAGCACGCGACAGAGCTGTCCGTTAAAGATGACGTGATAGTATGTCCCAAAGCTTGCCTACTCTTTTGCTACACACTCAAAAGTATGTACTTTTTCTTCACAAAAAGAGTACATACGTTTAGGGCGTAGTATACATAAGCGAATTGGGACGCAGCACCAGTTTTCACTCAGTCATGGTCAAGCCTCCAACAGGAACAGACCCAAACCAGTCTCCAAGGAACTCTCTGACTCATCCAGCAGCAGTAATGTAGCGTATACTCGCCTGAAAATACTAACCTCTCTGTCCATGTTCTGATGTTCCCAGAATCTGCTCCTTGATCCATGTTTCCTGAGTCCTTGTAATCTTCCTGAGTCTCGTTTGCTGACGGATGATCTGAAAGAGAAAGACGAGTATCACTGGACCGTGTTGGTTTGATGTTGATTACTCTGAAGAGGATCTGCTCACCTGAAATCCTTCCTGCAAAGTATCTTCCTCGAGTTCACCTCTGAAACTCTGAACACTCACCTTTAAACTTGAAATAAAGAGTTATGTTTATTCACTTACCTCTGTCTCCGGGCCTGTATCCTGACACAAAAGTTAGCAACTACTGTATTAAAGTTACCTACCTCTAATTTTGTCATCTTTGCAAATAGTTCTTCTACCCAATAAACATACGTGAGATTTATAAGGGGAGAGGCAGAACAAGACCCCAGCTAACCATTTTACCTTCTGGGAACGTTAGTGTTTGATTCCCAAGAACGTTCCCTATTGGTGATCCAGGAAAGTTTTCTTAACGTAAATAGAACATTCCCAAAAACTTTATGGGAACGTGCCCTTTAGGTTATAAAATTAAACCTAAAAACGAGAGAACTTTCTTGTTTGGTTCACACAAAAATAACCAAATGGGAAGCATACGGGAACGTTAGAGGAACGTTCTGTGTTTGCTGGGTGCCAGATCTCAGATTGATTGAGCAGTTTGGTTAGAGAAAACCCAGATATAACACCCATTTTTATATAATGTGCAGATAATTCTGCAGTAGAAATCACCAAAGCCAAGTTTGTGCTGAGACTGAGATTCAAGAAAACCAAAAGCTTTATATAAAAGTCTATAAAAAAGAATAAAAGAAATGCGATGCAAATATTGTTAGCAATATGTCTCTTAGGGTTAAACCTGACTGAGCCCAGCACATCTATCGGCCAATATCAAAGCTTTTATAGTCACCGTTTAATAGGCGATTTGGGCACCAGTTATCTATAAACACAATGTCTTTCTTCGGTTTATTAAAGTGAGTAAGTGTCGTGATAATGTCGGAGGGAGTGTTTTAAAGGAGCTCCTTCTCCTTCAGCCCATCGGTTCTCACGCGCTTCAGCAACAGTTATCTCTCTGTCACGGTCACTAGATGAAGTCTTAATCTCCTTCAAAGGCTGGAAAACAGCAGTCCAGAATCCTCACAATAAAAATAGACTTATAAAGAGAAGAATAGAAATTTACCAGTTTTTTAGAGTCAGAAGAAACCATATGATTAGTGATTAGAGAATTAATACTCACACACACACACACACACACTAACCCTACCCCTAAACCTAACCATCACACACACACTAACCTGACCCCTAAACCTACCCTTACACTCACACATATTATATACACACACACACACACAAATTATACACACAATGGTCCTTTCTGGTTTCCTCTTTCCTCCTGTAATGCCTAACGCAGTATTTTATGGGCACGGCTTCGTTTACAGCGGTCACCATGGTAACGGCTCTGTTTCTGCATTAGCGCCACCTCCTGTCAGAGAGTGGATGTACATCGTCATTCGGCCTGTCCACGGTCTCCTCGTAGCTTCAGGTCAACAGCGAAAGCAACATTCAGCACAGACACAATAGAGTTCTGCTTTATTCAGGACATGCTAATTTTCAGCCCTATAGGCTGTGGTATCAAACATCAATTTACATTCATTTGAATAGGAAATATACACATGATACATCTGAATGTCTGAGCTGAACATGAGTTTTAGATGATACTCTACATTTTTCTAAATCCCTGTAATAATACTTTTTGCATCAGTCATGAGTGATTGATGCTAACGTTCTCAGGTTGAATATCTCTGGTTCTTTCGCTGGAAACAAATAAATACTTTGAGAGCTGCTGTGATTCAGACGAAGCTTTCCTCCATGTTGGAGCACAGCAGGAACGAGTCCACCAGTCTGGGCTTGATCAGCTGCTGATGGTCCGAGAGCCCGATGCTGTCCGGACACTCGGACGCAAGCCTCCTCAGCGCAGCCTGGCAGGGGTCAGGGGTCACAGGTCATCCACACACGCTCAAGCAGAAAGTGCACTCATAGTATTTTATAGCTTTGAAAAAACTTATATTAGGGGCACTAAGAAATGTAGAAATTATGAAATTCATCTTTCTACATGAATATTAAAGCAGTACAGTTTACATGAAAATATTGATTTTAAAGGGATAGTTCACCCAAAAATGAAAATAAGCCCATGATTTACTCATCCTGAAGTTATATGAAAAAAATGTCCTGGCTCTTCCAAGCCCATAAAAGTGCATCTGTCCATCATAAAATAATTAAGGCCTTCTGAAGTGAAGCAATGCGTTTGAATAAGAAAAATATCTATATTTAAAAATTAATCGACTAAAATGACTAGCTTCCGGCGGATCGCATCCGCCACAAGAGTAACGCTCGACGATGTAGACGTAGGACGGCTCTCGCCGTGAGATAGGTCTAACAGCAGAACCACACAACCATACACCACAGCGGAGAGTAAATCATGGGCTAATTTTCATTTTTGAGTGAACTGTCCCTTCAAGAAAAGCTGTTTAGTTGGACTTGATTGTCTGCTTAACTCTATGGCCTGCAGTCCATGCAGGAATACTGAAGTATACTTGTATATTAAATAGCAAAAGGGAACACATTCTGCTCAGTATGAATATTAGCTCATATAGCACAATTTTACACATGCATTCAAAAACAACAACAGCTTTATTTACCAGACAGGCCACCAGTACCGAATCACTGTTGTTCCTTTCCGCTGGCGAGCGACACAACTCAATGAGGCGGGGAACAGCTGAGGGAAAATACAAGGGTTTCAATGCTGACCATCTGTGTAGTCCAAGCAGCTTTAAAAATACACCAGTAACACTTTACAATAAGGTTCATTAGTTACCTTTAGTTAATGTATTAACTAACATTCACTAACCATGAGGAATACATGTGTTCCTGTATTTATTAATCTTTCCGAATGTTCGTTTTTTTTTCATTTTTGTTTATGTTAGTTCACAATGCATTAAAGGAGAACTCCGGCGCAAAATAAACCTTTTGTCATGTGGTAGAAGGATGGACCCAATAGCAGTCAGTATGCAACACTCAACTAGGTTTATTGACCATGAAAACAGAAAAACAAAACCCACGATGGGGCAAAACAAGACAGGAAAGCAAACACGAGACTGAGACTCAAACAGACTCTTCTTGAAAAATGATGTTTTCTCAATGAATTACTCACTGCTAGAATCACACAACGTCAAACAATGAACCGACACAGGACAGCAAACACAAGGGGATTATAAAGGGAACACTAATGACAAGGACAGGTGAAACTGACTAGACAATAATGACAAGATGAGGATAACAAGGGGGCGGGGGTAACGTTACGAGACAACACAAGCAAACAATTGGCCATGCGCTTGCACACAAAACATGGGTCTGCCATGATCCTGCCACAAGACTAGGAAAATCAAAGACTTGATGGCAGAATCACCTTTGGTCTAATAACACGTTGCTACCGAGTCGACCGTTCTCTGAGATTTGTTTCCATGAAAATCGAATGTAAAAAGTTTTATCTCTAAAAACTGTTGAGTGTATAACGCTAGTATATGGGGGCCAATAATAAGTAAAAAGAAATTGCTAGTTAATACCACTAACAAGGCTCAAAATAGCCCCACACTAACACGGTACACTGACAAAGTTCAGTAGCGTGTGCAGTATCTGATCTACACATGTGGTTGTGTGAGTTTCTCCCTAAGGTAAGTGTGTGCAGTATCTGATCTGATCTGACAAAAATAAATCAATTTATTTTTTAATTAATTTAGATTCTGTAATAAAAAAAAAACCATGACAGCTATGAATCGATTTCTTGTGGTCAGGTACAGGTGTTGTCTAGAGGTCAGGTACAGGTGTTGTCTAGTCGTCAGCAGGGGCGGCTCGCCCGTAGAGGGCGCTGGGGCGCCGCCCTCCCTCCGACCTGTCTGTCTGTTTTTTTAATATATATTATAATTTATCATTTTGAAAAATAATCTGTGTTAATTATATGCTAATAATGGTTTTACTTTGAAAAGTGTTTTGAACTCACCAGAATGATATTTGCATTCACTTTCGTTACTTTTATCATGTTGGTGTAGTAGTATAGCCAATAGGCTGTCTTCTCGGGGCGCCAGTTCGCTCAGCCCCACAGTGCTGGAATTTAAGCCAATGGTTCCCCGGTTGCTATGCAAAAAAGTTTATATTTCGCCAATCAGCGCCGTCATATTTTATGGATTGGTGGCGCTGAAAATATCGCCCACAGTATCAGATTAGGGGAGTGCACCGTGCAACTTTCTTCTCATACTTGGGTGTTACCTAGAGGTGTTGTCTAGAGGTCAGATACAGGTGTTGTCTAGAGGTCAGGTACAGGTGTTGTCTAGAGGTCAGGTACAGGTGTTGTCTAGAGGTCAGATATAGGTGAGGTCAGGTACAGGTGTTGTCTAGAGGTCAGGTATAGGTGAGGTCAGGTACAGGTGTTGTCTAGAGGTCAGATATAGGTGAGGTCAGGTACAGGTGTTGTCTCGTACCCCGCAGCTGAATTGCAGTCTGAGCCACCAGCGGGTCTCTGCTGAGACGAGCCAGTGTGACGGCAGCTTTCTGCTGGACCCGCTCGCACGCGGCGCCCTCGGATGGACTGGAGGACGACGGCTTCTCATTCAGCAGCACCAGCAGCTGCTCCACTCCTGAACACAGATCCAGTGACTCACACGCTGCGGGAAAACACTCGGTATCTGTGCACGTGTTTGTGTGTGTCTCACATACCCTTCTCCTCGAGAACATCTACAGAGCATTGCTCCAGAACGGACAGATTCGCAAGGATGGTCACAACCTGCAGGGATTGAATGATCTCATTACTGGATTCGATGTTTACAGTACTGTTACTACACTGGGAAACGTGTGCGAGTGTACAATATACTCCTGACTAGCAGTGTTGATCAACGCACATTTTAAGTAGTTTGCTCATCAGGAGGCATATCCCTTAACTTTTATAACCAAAATGACATATTTCAATGTTTTATCCTTGAAAAAACAATGTCTTCATGCCTTAACATATCTCGAAAGTAACTTGACACCCTTGACTCATTTATTAGGCGCGGTTCTATGAATATGCAAATGAGCCGCGCCTCCACTCATTCACTCAGCTCAGAGATCCACTGGTTGACGATCACACATTGATCTGATTGGTTACAAGGTAGTTTGATATCAGAAACACCAGCGATTTCAAACCGTGTTTTTGAGACTGTCTTTAGTTCATTGCAGTTTTAAGGAGAAAACACTTAGCAATGCTGTCGACCTATGAAATCGTGCTGGCGGTCTCTGCGTGTGTGTGTGTGTGTGTGTGTGCACCTGGTCTTTGGAGTACGGCGTGTCGACGCGCTGGCGGTCTCTGCAGGCCTGCAGAAGGATGGGAACGGCGTTGAGCTGCAGGAGGATCTCACAGGCCATGCTGTCGAAGAACGTGATGTTGGCCAGCGCTGCCGAGGCCAGCAGGAACACTTCACCACAGGACGCGCTCGCACACAGACCTGCACACACACACATAACACAAGCCTCAACTACTGGCTAGCACAGCTTAATTAGTGGATCCCAATGACATTTAAAACCAAGCCATTCTTCTAGAGTACACTACCACCCCAACAAAAGTAGTACACATCTATGTTGCAGATCAGTGTGGAAGTATTGAAATGTGGAGTTAGACCGTTAAACAGTTTTTCACCATTGCAATTTTACGGATTGTTTGGGCGGGGCTAAAACAGGGCTCGATGACGCACTGGAGCCCATGAGCTCCTGGACACGCCCCTATTTGATGACGCATTTTGCTGATCTTATCTCTCCCCTAACACACAATAACACTCCCCGAGCACATTCGCATTCACCGCTCAATCACGACGCGAGTGACTGTCAGTCCTATTAGTTACTACAGCCTACAGTTTTCTAGCTAGCGATGGCTTCAACACAGAAATGCATGGGCTGCTACCTGGATGCGATCATGTACAAAACAAATCGGTATCTTTATTTAAATTCCCTAAAAACGATCACATCAAGAAGAGGTTTATAGAGAGCCAACCTTGATGAAGAGCTGAGGATCACCGCCAACACCCGCCTCTGTAGTGATCGTTTTACACTGGATAGTTTTATAAACTTTCCTCAGAGACAACTGGGATTCACTGATAATCCGCTGTTACTGGTGAACGGGGCTGAAACTACTATCTCCCGCCTCAGTGTTCATCCTCCCGTCGCGAAAGCAGTATCAGCTAATATCACCGTCCACAGCTTTCCCGCTAGTGGGCGTGGTTTCAGCACAGTCAGAGGACACGCCCCCAGCGTTTGAGGACAGAGAATCTGCTCATTTTTTTATGATTTTGATAGCTTATTTTATCTACTTGCCGGCTTTTTTATCTTTCAAATTTGGCTGGGTGGCTAATTACACATTTTTCTGTGGTGTGACAAACTCAGAACACATACTTAATTTTGACTTTACAGGGACTTTAAGCTTGTGGTTGATGCCAGTTACGATGTAGCAGTACACTGAATGGATGTTGTGGTAACTAAATTCACTGATATTTTGCTGATTTGAAGATAATGGATTCTAGTGATTCAATACTGCTGTTATTAACCTGTGTCCCTGCGGTAACACTAGTAGGAAACCCCAGTGGCTCTCGTGGGTCTTGAACGAGCTAAGCTCCAGGACCAGGATACACCTGTTTCCGTTGAAGAAAACTGTTGAAGATTTCATGATGGGAAAGAGCGGTTACCAGTGTAACAAGGTGATTTCTCAACAATGGGCAAGATCCTCTTTGGCCAAAAAGAGGGCAACCTAAGGCACTGCCACCACTGGCCAACTCCTGAGGATGGTGTTCATGTGAGATAAGTGTGAGAGTCTATACGGTGTAGCGCTCACTGATGAGGGCTGGTGATATATGTGATAGGGTGTAGTGCTCACTGATGAGGGCTGGGGATATATGTGATGGGGTGTAATGCTCACTGATGAGGGCTGGTGATATATGTGATACGGTGTAATGCTCACTGATGAGGGCTGGTGATGTATATGTGATACGGTGTAATGCTCACTGATGAGGGCTGGTGATATATGTAATACGGTGTAGTGCTCACTGATAAGGGCTGGTGATATATGTGATACGGTGTAGTGCTCACTGATGAGGGCTGGTGATATATGTGATACGGTGTAGCGCTCACTGATGAGGGCTGGTGATATATGTGATACGGTGTAGCGCTCACTGATGAGGGCTGGTGATATATGTGATACGGTGTAGTGCTCACTGATGAGGGCTGGTGATATATGTGATACGGTGTAGTGCTCACTGATGAGGGCTGGTGATATATGTGATAGGGTGTAGTGCTCACTGATGAGGGCTGGTGATATATGTGATACGGTGTAGTGCTCACTGATGAGGGCTGGTGATGTATATGTGATACGGTGTAGCGCTCACTGATGAGGGCTGGTGATATATGTGATACGGTGTAGCGCTCACTGATGAGGGCTGGTGATATATGTGATACGGTGTAGTGCTCACTGATGAGGGCTGGTGATATATGTGATACGGTGTAGCGCTCACTGATGAGGGCTGGTGATATATGTGATACGGTGTAGTGCTCACTGATGAGGGCTGGTGATATATGTGATACGGTGTAGCGCTCACTGATGAGGGCTGGTGATATATGTGATACGGTGTAATGCTCACTGATGAGGGCTGGTGATGTATATGTGATACGGTGTAGTGCTCACTGATGAGGGCTGGTGATATATGTGATACGGTGTAGCGCTCACTGATGAGGGCTGGTGATATATGTGATACGGTGTAGCGCTCACTGATGAGGGCTGGTGATATATGTGATACGGTGTAGTGCTCACTGATGAGGGCTGGTGATATATGTGATAGGGTGTAGTGCTCACTGATGAGGGCTGGTGATATATGTGATACGGTGTAGTGCTCACTGATGAGGGCTGGTGATATATGTGATACGGTGTAGTGCTCACTGATGAGGGCTGGGGATATATGTGAAGGGGTGTAGTGCTCACTGATGAGGGCTGGTGATATATGTGATATGGTGTAGTGCTCACTGATGAGGGCTGGTGATATATGTGATACGGTGTAATGCTCACTGATGAGGGCTGGTGATATATGTGATACGGTGTAGTGCTCACTGATGAGGGCTGGTGATATATGTGATACGGTGTAGCGCTCACTGATGAGGGCTGGTGATATATGTGATACGGTGTAGCGCTCACTGATGAGGGCTGGTGATATATGTGATACGGTGTAGTGCTCACTGATGAGGGCTGGTGATATATGTGATACGGTGTAGCGCTCACTGATGAGGGCTGGTGATATATGTGATACGGTGTAGCGCTCACTGATGAGGGCTGGTGATATATGTGATACGGTGTAATGCTCACTGATGAGGGCTGGTGATATATGTAATACGGTGTAATGCTCACTGATGAGGGCTGGTGATATATGTGATACGGTGTAGTGCTCACTGATGAGGGCTGGTGATATATGTAATACGGTGTAATGCTCACTGATGAGGGCTGGTGATATATGTGATACGGTGTAGTGCTCACTGATGAGGGCTGGTGATATATGTGATACGGTGTAGCGCTCACTGATGAGGGCTGGTGATATATGTGATACGGTGTAATGCTCACTGATGAGGGCTGGTGATATATGTAATACGGTGTAATGCTCACTGATGAGGGCTGGTGATATATGTGATACGGTGTAGTGCTCACTGATGAGGGCTGGTGATATATGTGATACGGTGTAGCGCTCACTGATGAGGGCTGGTGATATATGTGATACGGTGTAATGCTCACTGATGAGGGCTGGTGATATATGTGATACGGTGTAGCGCTCACTGATGAGGGCTGGTGATATATGTGATACGGTGTAGCGCTCACTGATGAGGTCTGGTGATATATGTGATACGGTGTAGTGCTCACTGATGAGGGCTGGTGATATATGTGATACGGTGTAACGCTCACTGATGAGGGCTGGTGATATATGTGATACGGTGTAACGCTCACTGATGAGGGCTGGTGATATATGTGATACGGTGTAGCGCTCACTGATGAGGGCTGGTGATATATGTGATATGGTGTAGTGCTCACTGATGAGGGCTGGTGATATATGTGATACGGTGTAATGCTCACTGATGAGGGCTGGTGATATATGTGATACGGTGTAGTGCTCACTGATGAGGGCTGGTGATATATGTGATACGGTGTAGTGCTCACTGATGAGGGCTGGTGATGTATATGTGATACGGTGTAGTGCTCACTGATGAGGGCTGGTGATGTATATGTGATACGGTGTAGCGCTCACTGATGAGGGCTGGTGATATATGTGATACGGTGTAGCGCTCACTGATGAGGGCTGGTGATATATGTGATACGGTGTAGCGCTCACTGATGAGGGCTGGTGATATATGTGATAGGGTGTAGTGCTCACTGATGAGGGCTGGTGATATATGTGATACGGTGTAGTGCTCACTGATGAGGGCTGGTGATATATGTGATACGGTGTAGTGCTCACTGATGAGGGCTGGGGATATATGTGATGGGGTGTAGTGCTCACTGATGAGGGCTGGTGATATATGTGATACGGTGTAGTGCTCACTGATGAGGGCTGGTGATATATGTGATGGGGTGTAGTGCTCACTGATGAGGGCTGGTGATATATGTGATACGGTGTAGTGCTCACTGATGAGGGCTGGTGATATATGTGATAGGGTGTAGTGCTCACTGATGAGGGCTGGTGATATATGTGATACGGTGTAGTGCTCACTGATGAGGGCTGGTGATATATGTGATACGGTGTAGTGCTCACTGATGAGGGCTGGGGATATATGTGATGGGTGTAGTGCTCACTGATGAGGGCTGGTGATATATGTGATACGGTGTAGTGCTCACTGATGAGGGCTGGTGATATATGTGACACGGTGTAATGCTCACTGATGAGGGCTGGTGATATATGTGATACGGTGTAGTGCTCACTGATGAGGGCTGGTGATATATGTGATACGGTGTAATGCTCACTGATGAGGGCTGGTGATATATGTAATACGGTGTAATGCTCACTGATGAGGGCTGGTGATATATGTGATACGGTGTAGTGCTCACTGATGAGGGCTGGTGATATATGTGATAGGGTGTAGTGCTCACTGATGAGGGCTGGTGATATATGTGATAGGGTGTAGTGCTCACTGATGAGGGCTGGTGATATATGTGATAGGGTGTAGTGCTCACTGATGAGGGCTGTGACGATGTCCTGCATGCTCTCCAGGAAGCTGGCGAGGTGTTTTGTGGAGCTGTGATGAGGAGAGGTGATCTGAGCCATGACCGCCGCCGCCTCCGCTCGCGTCGCCTCCGCACACTCGCCGTCTGTCAGGATCTCTGCCAGACACAGGATCCCGTCCACCTGATTCACACACACACAAACACACACCACAGCTGCTCAGCTCACCTGATGCACACACACACACTCACACCACAGCTGACCTCAACGCAAGTCTAGCACACATCTGACTCAGCTCAACAGAAGCTCTGTGTCTGCAGAAACATTCTCAGGCTCTAGATGACCAATCTGATAAACATCAAGGCAAAGACGGGACAGACCAGAGAGGAAAATAACCCAATAGTCATCAGTCATCACATTCACTGTCTTCATAAGTTTATTCAGTCATTCATTCTTAAATTACAGAACAGACAATAGGAAAGCATTCAAGGCAGTATATGAGATTTCAAAAAATCTAGTTTATACAGAATATATACATTGTTAGTAATAGTTACATAAAAATATACGAGTATAAGTCATAATAGTATGAGAATAATAGTAAAAGTATAATTTATATGTATATGAAACATACACAATAGCACAATATCAAGTCTTATAAATCTAAAAAGTCTAATAATAGTCTTTTACAGATATTTGTCGAGTATATGAGAGCATTTATTATTTAGATCGATGAGGATATCAAACTGAATCTAACTTGTGGTGTTTCTGAGTTGAGACTTCAGTTTCAGAATGCAGTTCTGTTATATAATCCATCACCACACGGTGGTGCTGTTACACAAACTGAGAAACACACGACTCACCAGAAGATATTTCTATACAGACATTAAAAACCACATTATCACTCAAACTGAGATCAGAGAGAATAACACACCGTATCAGACAGTTCAATTCTCTACCTTCAAATATATATATATAGTATTATTTTGGGGTGTTTGGTGGCAAAACCGACTCAACCATCTTTGAAACATTAGCAGTCATTACTGGTGGCAGTTATATTCATAACTTCAGTGAGCTGTTATTTTAGTATTATTGATTTCCCATTTTACTTTTAATTAAAGGTTTATTTTTTGTCTATTTTTATATATACTGTATGTCCACATAATTGTTGTTAATTTAATTTATTTTCTTTTAGTACAGGCTTACACTCTCATCCAGAGTGTTTTTCCCTGTGCTGTGCATGCTGGGAAATGATACCTCTTCCAGCTGGCTGATGCCGTCTTCCACACAGCAGATAGAGGCGAGAGTCCTGAGCGCGTGTGCATACAGAGAGCTGAAGCAGTCCTGCCGGCAGATCTTCAGCAACGCCACCACAGCGCCCTCCTGTGGAGCAGAGCAGCACTCTTTACTAACGGCAGCGTCACTCTTAACTAACGGCAGCATCACTCTTTACTAACGGCAGCATCACTCTTTACTAACGGCAGCTTCACTCTTAACTAACGGCAGCATCACTCTTTACTAACGGCAGCATCACTCTTTACTAACGGCAGCTTCACTCTTAACTAACGGCAGCGTCACTCTTAACTAACGGCAGCGTCACTCTTAACTAACGGCAGCGTCACTCTTAACTAACGGCAGCATCACTCTTAACTAACAGCAGCGTCACTCTTTACTAACGGCAGCGTCACTCTTTACTAACGGCAGCAGCACTCTTTACTAACGGCAGCGTCACTCTTTACTAACGGCAGCATCACTCTTTACTAACGGCAGCATCACTCTTAACTAACAGCAGCGTCACTCTTTACTAACGGCAGCGTCACTCTTTACTAACGGCAGCAGCACTCTTTACTAACGGCAGCGTCACTCTTTACTAACGGCAGCATCACTCTTTACTAACGGCAGCATCACTCTTTACTAACGGCAGCATCACTCTTTACTAACGGCAGCAGCACTCTTTACTAACGGCAGCGTCACTCTTTACTAACGGCAGCATCACTCTTTACTAACGGCAGCGTCACTCTTTACTAACGGCAGCGTCACTCTTTACTAACGGCAGCAGCACTCTTTACTAACAGCAGCGTCACTCTTTACTAACGGCAGCAGCACTCTTTACTAACGGCAGCATCACTCTTTACTAACGGCAGCATCACTCTTTACTAACGGCAGCATCACTCTTGACTAACGGCAGCGTCACTCTTTACTAACGGCAGCGTCACTCTTTACTAACGGCAGCAGCACTCTTTACTAACGGCAGCGTCACTCTTTACTAACGGCAGCAGCACTCTTTACTAACAGCAGCGTCACTCTTTACTAACGGCAGCATCACTCTTTACTAACGGCAGCGTCACTCTTTACTAACGGCAGCGTCACTCTTCACTAACGGCAGCATCACTCTTGACTAACGGCAGCGTCACTCTTCACTAACGGCAGCATCACTCTTTACTAACGGCAGCATCACTCTTGACTAACGGCAGCATCACTCTTGACTAACGGCAGCGTCACTCTTGACTAACGGCAGCGTCACTCTTGACTAACGGCAGCGTCACTCTTTACTAACGGCAGCATCACTCTTTACTAACGGCAGCATCACTCTTGACTAACGGCAGCATCACTCTTAACTAACGGCAGCAGCACTCTTTACTAACGGCAGCATCACTCTTTACTAACGGCAGCGTCACTCTTCACTAACGGCAGCATCACTCTTTACTAACGGCAGCGTCACTCTTTACTAACGGCAGCGTCACTCTTTACTAACGGCAGCGTCACTCTTTACTAACGGCAGCAGCACTCTTTACTAACGGCAGCATCACTCTTTACTAACGGCAGCATCACTCTTTACTAACGGCAGCATCACTCTTTACTAACGGCAGCATCACTCTTTACTAACGGCAGCATCACTCTTAACTAACGGCAGCGTCACTCTTTACTAACGGCAGCGTCACTTTTAACTAACGGCAGCTTCACTCTTTACTAACGGCAGCGTCACTCTTAACTAACGGCAGCGTCACTCTTTACTAACGGCAGCGTCACTCTTAACTAACGGCAGCGTCACTCTTAACTAACGGCAGCGTCACTCTTTACTAACGGCAGCGTCACTCTTTACTAACGGCAGCGTCACTCTTTACTAACGGCAGCAGCACTCTTTACTAACAGCAGCGTCACTCTTTACTAACGGCAGCATCACTCTTTACTAACGGCAGCGTCACTCTTTACTAATGGCAGCGTCACTCTTCACTAACGGCAGCATCACTCTTGACTAACGGCAGCGTCACTCTTCACTAACGGCAGCATCACTCTTTACTAACGGCAGCATCACTCTTGACTAACGGCAGCATCACTCTTGACTAACGGCAGCGTCACTCTTGACTAACGGCAGCGTCACTCTTGACTAACGGCAGCGTCACTCTTTACTAACGGCAGCATCACTCTTTACTAACGGCAGCATCACTCTTGACTAACGGCAGCATCACTCTTGACTAACGGCAGCATCACTCTTTACTAACGGCAGCGTCACTCTTCACTAACGGCAGCATCACTCTTGACTAACGGCAGCATCACTCTTGACTAACGGCAGCATCACTCTTGACTAACGGCAGCATCACTCTTCACTAACGGCAGCGTCACTCTTCACTAACGGCAGCGTCACTCTTTACTAACGGCAGCATCACTCTTTACTAACGGCAGCGTCACTCTTCACTAACGGCAGCGTCACTCTTCACTAACGGCAGCATCACTCTTCACTAACGGCAGCATCACTCTTGACTAACGGCAGCATCACTCTTTACTAACGGCAGCATCACTCTTTACTAACGGCAGCGTCACTCTTGACTAACGGCAGCGTCACTCTTCACTAACGGCAGCATCACTCTTAACTAACGGCAGCATCACTCTTTACTAACGGCAGCGTCACTCTTAACTAACGGCAGCGTCACTCTTAACTAACGGCAGCATCACTCTTGACTAACGGCAGCGTCACTCTTTACTAACGGCAGCGTCACTCTTAACTAACGGCAGCGTCACTCTTTACTAACGGCAGCATCACTCTTGACTAACGGCAGCATCACTCTTTACTAACGGCAGCGTCACTCTTAACTAACGGCAGCGTCACTCTTTACTAACGGCAGCATCACTCTTGACTAACGGCAGCGTCACTCTTTACTAACGGCAGCGTCACTCTTGACTAACGGCAGCGTCACTCTTCACTAACGGCAGCGTCACTCTTTACTAACGGCAGCATCACTCTTTACTAACGGCAGCGTCACTCTTTACTAACGGCAGCATCACTCTTTACTAACGGCAGCATCACTCTTTACTAACGGCAGCATCACTCTTTACTAACGGCAGCATCGCTCTTTACTAACGGCAGCATCACTCTTTACTAACGGCAGCATCACTCTTTACTAACGGCAGCGTCACTCTTTACTAACGGCAGCATCACTCTTGACTAACGGCAGCATCACTCTTTACTAACGGCAGCGTCACTCTTAACTAACGGCAGCGTCACTCTTTACTAACGGCAGCATCACTCTTGACTAACGGCAGCGTCACTCTTTACTAACGGCAGCGTCACTCTTGACTAACGGCAGCGTCACTCTTTACTAACGGCAGCGTCACTCTTTACTAACGGCAGCATCACTCTTTACTAACGGCAGCGTCACTCTTCACTAACGGCAGCGTCACTCTTTACTAACGGCAGCATCACTCTTTACTAACGGCAGCGTCACTCTTTACTAACGGCAGCATCACTCTTTACTAACGGCAGCATCACTCTTTACTAACGGCAGCATCACTCTTTACTAACGGCAGCGTCACTCTTTACTAACGGCAGCTTCACTCTTGACTAACGGCAGCGTCACTCTTCACTAACGGCAGCATCACTCTTAACTAACGGCAGCATCACTCTTGACTAACGGCAGCGTCACTCTTTACTAACGGCAGCGTCACTCTTTACTAACGGCAGCATCACTCTTTACTAAACGGCAGCATCACTCTTTACTAACGGCAGCATCACTCTTTACTAACGGCAGCATCACTCTTTACTAACGGCAGCATCACTCTTTACTAACGGCAGCGTCACTCTTGACTAACGGCAGCATCGCTCTTTACTAACGGCAGCGTCACTCTTTACTAACGGCAGCATCACTCTTTACTAACGGCAGCGTCACTCTTGACTAACGGCAGCGTCACTCTTTACTAACGGCAGCGTCACTCTTTACTAATGGCAGAATTATTTTCAAAATAATTTTTGATTTAGACCGTACCATGTGGTAATTAGTACTTAAATTATGCCATTGAATTGCAATGACACTTAAATGTCAGGGCAAATATACTGTGTAATTAAATTTTTGTTTGTTTGTTTGTTTTTTGATAACACCTTTCTCTGTAATTACAGTGCAAATAGTGTTGTTTCGTATTGCTGCATAGTAAGTAACGTTTGTTACCCCCGTGTTCTGCGTAGTTACAGGGTAAGTGTAACTCCTGCGGGCTGTAAATTAAAGTGGTGCTTTTATTACCCAAAACTTAACATATTTATACCTACATGGATGTACACTATAATTACAGAAATATACACTGTAATTTCAGTGTACTTACACAGTTGTTTGCGGATCGTAAAATAAAGTGTTACCGAGTTTCTTTATGGTTTTCAAGAACAGCATTGTCCATTCCCCAAAAATCTTTACTTTTAGAATTTGTCAATGTTTGCAAAAATTTTTTTGATTTAAATTCATTTGCCAATTTAAATTTTAACATATTTTGTTCATGTGAGATACAATCACTACACAAAATAACTGTTTCATCTATATAAACGTTTAATTCACAGTAACTGCCTTTCATAAAGCCATTACCATCAACCTCGGACTTCTTGTTCATTTTATTATGTGTATTATTTAATTCAAAGGTTATTAATGGTAAATCAATGAATCATCTGGTACATCTATATATTTAGTGTGTGTTTGAGAGAGAGAGAGAGAGAGAGAGAGAGAGGACTTTTCTCAGAAATCAGACATCAGATCAGTGTCCTTTAACCCAGAACTGTGGATGATATAAATCAGTCTCCACTCCAGAGAGAATGGCTGTGAGACGATGTAACCACTGTGATTATGTGAATAAGTGTAATCATGTGTCGCGCTACGCTACGCTAGAGAGCCTCAGTCTGCAGCACATTCACAAACACACACAGCTGCTGATCTCTCACCTGTCACCCCTTCTCTGCGTTTAGTGACGTACACGTGAAGGTTTGCACACAAAACATCTTAAGGAAAACATGATCTTTGCGTCACTCTCGCTGTCAGAATTTTAAAAATACATTATTTCAATGTACAATCTTTAATAAATGAAGCGTTGATGTGTTTTTGTGGCTACAGTAGTAGTTAGTTAGTTAGTTGGGAAAGGATGTCCATTTTTCAGCACAATTTTGGTTTTCTCTTACAAAAAATAAGTATAGTTCATTTTATGATTTATTTCAAGTATAGTTTTAAGTATTCTTTACAAAGTATACTAATGTTAATGTACTAGTAGTAAACTTTCAATTCTGCTTGGGACTAGTCTGGGTTTCCCTCATGCTGCCATCCTGCAGCGAGATTTTATTGACGCTGAAAGGCAGTCTGGATACCATGGCCAGATTTTCGCTTCATTTAGGGAACCAACCAATCACAGAACGGGGAGGGAGCAGCAAGACGATGACGACATCTATGCCACACACCGAAGCAGTTTGTTTATATCTGGATTCAACATGGCAGCAGACGCGAAGCTACCTTTTGATGCGGCCTTAGATATTGTTCTAAGTAGTTTCGAATGCAAGTTTATTTAGAAAAAAGAGCCGCTTCTGCCGTTAAACTTCGCGAGAGCCCAGTCGTTATTGTTGTCTCGACATTAATCGCCCTAATGGAGGACCAGTACAGGAGGCAGTCAAACTGGGAATATCTGCCGCTCAGCTGTGTCCCGAGAAAGAAAATGCGGTAAAGAATGGTCGATACCAACTTCTGTTCGGCAGTCCCGAGGCCTGGATGAGCGCAAAGTGGCAAGACATGTTAGCCACGGAGTTGTATAGTACCAACCTGCTATGCATCGTCGTCGACGAAGTCTATTTAACTTATAAATGGTAAGTGGTAATTATTAATATCATATTGATTATGCCTGTAGACTTCCTACTGTGGTTGTCACAGTGCCACTAAGATGTGTTGCTTTTCAATATCAATATACAGCTACCGCTTTAGCAGCATAACTTTCAGCCGTGCACACGAACCTGATTAAAGTTGTTGACACTTTAGTCGTTAAATTTAGTTTTTATTTTTTTTAAACTTGTGAAGTACAAGCATAAACAATTTGCAATGCAAATAACAACTTCAACATCTATGTTTAACTGTACTTAATACGTGTGTTTTTCTAATTGAAACGATTGGCTATGAGCTACGTACAGGCGCATTTGATAGACGTTCTTAGCACCCAATAAACAGCGCCGGGCATTCGTAAACCACGCCTCAAATACGGGAAAATGAACATGTGGTTCCCAGACCCAAGTCTCAACGAGAATTGGGTCTGGCGTTATCCAGGCTAGCTTGGGACTATACTGGCCCACTTTTAGGTGCATACAAATATACTTTCATGTATACTTTAAAGGAGCAATGTGTAGAAATTTCTCCCATCAAGCAGTCAAAATCTATTTTGCATTCAAATGAACTGTGCCTCGCTTTTTCAAATACGCGTCGCATCTACGGTAGCCATTATGTACCATAAAGCTATGACAGGATGTCTTCTAATAGCACTTCGTCGAGTGTTCCTGCGGGTGAACAGGTTTGTTATTTCAAACAAACAGCAACTTGACACAACGAACAAATGAATGTTACAGTATGAATTACTGACTGTGAAAAGCATGAACTATTATATATAGTTATACAGTACTGTGCAGAAGTCTTAGGCACACTAGTATTTTCGCCTCAAAGAAATGGTTTTAAGCCAGTTATTTACAGTATATGTTTTGTTGTAGTGTCTCAGAAGGAAATATCAGTTTACATTTCCAGACATTAATTGTAATAATCAAGTGAAATGTTTGAATGCACAAGGATTCTGACAACAGCCAATGCTCCACACGGAGGTCGGCCATCTCACCATCATCGAGTGCATCTGAAATTATATGAAGAAACAGAAAAAACAGAGACTAAGACCAGAAGAACTATACTATATAACCAGATGGAACTGGATAAATACTCTGAATGTTCCAATCCAATCTGACCTCAGACCTGTAATGTCGCCTGGCCAGAGGAGAACTGAGACTGAGTCTGGTTTTATTCTCCATTCAGTCCCTGATGGAGTTTTGGTTCCTTGCCACTGTTGCTTTGGCTTTTGGCTTGCTGAGTTGGGGAAATTTAATATTCAACAATATTATTGATCTGCCTTAAGGTGGACGATGACGCAATTTTCTTCAAGAAACAAAGTTATATTAAACAAACTTGTACTATTTAGAAGTAAACTAACATCTGTTTTGAAAGGGTTAACAGTTTTTGCCTATTAAACTGTGTTTGCGGGATTAGATGATCAATGTTAGAATGAGTGGAAATGAAACAGAAAGTGAAAAGCAAAACTGATGACAGATCTGTAACGTGGTCTCCATCTAATCCCAGCAAACAGAAGTGAGCGATGCCTGGTAAGCGTCCGGCAGTCTATCCTCTTACAGCCGTGTGACGCGGCCGAGGCGGAGAGCCAGAAAACACCAGTCGCCGGCCGCTAATGGGACGCGACAGTATCGATCTGATTAGAAAAGCACCAGGAAAACCAGACGTCTAATGGACATGAAGCTGCGGCATCGAAGTTCAATAAAGAAGCCAGAGACCAACCCGCCAGTTTCATTATAAAAATAAAAAGTTAACTATAAACTGTATTGTTGATTTGAAATATGTAATAAATGTGTAAATATGTAAATATGATTTCAACTTGTTTAAATAAGTGAATAGGTGCCCAGGGTCTTCACCACTATGAGAACATATTTTGAGTAAATAAACCAATTAAACAAAATCTGTAAAGGGATGACTTGGAAAACAGAGCTAGTGCCTGAAATAGCCCATGAATCCAGCTGAAACAAACGTGTGGCATCAACCACAAATGATCTCCATCTGATCTGGCTGAGCTGGAACACATTTGCATTTTACTGCAAATCAGTTTGAAGAGAAACAAAATGTGAACAAATGCAGAAGAGTGAAAACACTGCATAAGATGAGAGATACCCCGAAGGAGCTGATCACATGATCACAGTGCATATGTGTGTATGAGAGAGAGAGAGAGAGAGAGCAAGAGAGTGTGTGTGTGAGTGAGTGAGTATGAGAGTGTGTGCGAGAGAGTGAGTGTGTGTGTGAGTGTGTTAGGGTACTTTAGCGATGATGCTGCAGAGCTGCGGCCCGTCCTGTGTTAGAGACAGCAGGTTACTGATGGCAGTGCTGATGGCAAAAACATTATCCGAATCCTCAATCTGATGGATCAGAATCTGTAAAAAAATGAGAATAAATGTCACTATTGTCACACACAGTGCATGTAATGAGCACACAATGACAATGAGAATCCGACAGAAACACTTTATTTTACAACAAACTAAGAACACGCAGGAGATCGTAGAGTAATCACAGTAAAACACAACCATATTAACACTGAACCAAGAACAGAATGAACTGAACAGTGATCAGGTGTGTATTTCACAACCATGGAAACTATCAATGACTGGGAACTGAGGGAAACAGGAACAGAACAAAACATAAATAAAATATAGCTGTGAGCAGCGATTACGGGCCCAAGCCCCGGTGCCACCGCCACCCCGGAGGCTTTAGGAAGACTGTGCACGACAGGCAATATGCATTTCAACTTTGAGAATATAAAAGGGTTATGTCATGATATAAGACACTTTGTTTCTCTTTTGTCATTATTTTAATTGCTCGCCATGGCAACACCAATTGAGATATAATAATAATAAAATACGATTGAGATATCCAGTATCCATTCACAATTTAACATCTTCAATGTCTTGCCACCATGTCCAGAAAGTTTGGTTTGAATCGTATCAATTCCCTAGGCACAGCAGATAAAAATTGCCTGATTATCAAAAAAATCCACATTCAAAACAAAATATCTGACTTCATGTTGGTCGGAGCTAATGACTGTAAATTAAAAAGTTGTCCATCTCGATGAGAACAATGTATGTACTGGGTTTGCTGCCTGTAGGTAAAACTAACCCCCCACTTTTGTCAAAAGGTGGCTCTACTGAGCCCCTCTTCACTGCCTGTTTCTAAGGCTTTGCCCATGTCTACTGGCTGACAACTCTGCTTCAAATTGCATCAAACTGGACACAAACATCATTTTAAAGGGATAGTTCGCTTTGAAATTAAAGGGTTAGTTCACCCAAAAATGAAAATTAAGTCATTAATTAGTCACCCCCATGCTGTACCAACCCCGTAAGACTATAGCGGAGATAGCGTGGGTGCATGGGTGCGGCCAGCGTGGGTGCGTGGGTGCATGGGTGCCGTGCCAATTAGGGGCCCCTCAAATGCCGCCGATTGCGTCACAGGTGCGTTTTCATTACAGATTTGCGCAAAACTTTTGCGATATTTTCCAAATGTCGATAAAAAACTATTGCGAAATGACGGTGTTTCCATTAACCGTTATATGCGACTAAAATGTTTTTTTTTCCTATCGCGATAAGTCATTCCAAAAATCATGGCAACGGACTTTGCTAGGTTTATTTTACAGCCATGCACCGCACTCGACATTATTATTATTAATGGAGGAAGACGTGGTGTGTTATCCAAGCATTAATAGCAGGGAAGGACACAGAGTTCCTGGTGTTTATTCTCCCTTATTTCTGCTTCGATGTCTTGGCATTTCTTTGAGGTTTAGAGAGGCTATTCCTGTAATTATTGTTTCTTTTTTTAAATGAATTTAATAAAGAACTCTATCTCGTATTATGTCCAAACGCTCGTTGCAAAACGAAAAAAGAACGGTTGCTGTATTTTTAAAACACAAAGTTGACCACGCCAATGCTGCGCTAACGAATTTTCAGATATTTGTTTATGACTTTTTACCCCCTTTAAGACATTTAAAATATTCAAAAATTAATATGGGAAAAAAATGTAGATTTTATTGGTTTTCTAAGGCCAAATTATAACCTGGATATTTATGATATTTTCCCCGCAGTGCTGTAGGCTATAGGTGAGTTATTATATGCGTCTGAAAAAATAACGAGCTAAAAACATAATCTCCGGATGCACCTTCAGAGAGAACTGCACCTTTCATACGGATTATATAATCAGAAGGTATTAGTTTACGATTCAAATTTGTTCTTTTTAAAGTGTACATTTAAAGCTTTAGTCTATAAAGGCTATTGTTTCAGTTCTTGCGCTCCAGTTCATAAAGCGCGCCTGAATGTTTTATTTTACAAAAGCACAACGTTTTCTTGTTATTGTGACATTACGTAAATAAAAGTAGTTGCGAATCATGTATTATTATTTTCTGTATAACCAGAAATGGTAGAGTATTTTAAGTTGTTTCCACTGTTGATGGGAAAATGAAAGTGTTCACGGCGCGCCCGCGTCTGTCTGCCATCCAGTGCGTGCTCCAAACTCCGCACACACTCTTAGATATTGGACAAAATCGAGTGTTTATTTGTGATAATCTAGCCCTATTATTATTATTGTCCAACCTGTAGCCTACTATGAATGAGATGTGACGAATTTGCTTTGTTCCTATTTTGGATAAAAGCGTCTTCTACATGTAGCCTATATGTAATAATAGGCTAATGATGATAAGTATTATTATTTGTGGACACGGAGCTAAAACACACCCAGTCTTCTAAGTCAGGCGACTGTAAATGCGAAAAATTCATTTCCATTGCAGTTTTGCGAAAAAATCCTTTTTCGAATTGCCTAAAAAACCTCCTCATGCGAGCGTAAAACATATGCTCCATTGAGCGTATTTTCATTTCACAATTTCAATTTGAAGGGAAATGGAAACGCAGCTACTGACAGGAAAGGGGCCCAGGCAAAGTACACCCAGCAAACACATTTACGTTGCGGTAACGTCTGTGGCACGTTGCATTTCTGCTATGGCAACGTCGCTGTCTATGTGCTACGAGCACCATCGCTGTCAATGAGATATCGCTGTTTGTGGTGCTGAAACATTTTTACTTGACTGGCAAACTGTTTTCTTTGTTCGTCAATACAAACTTGTAAAAAAAATGTGGCTTTTCTTTGTGTTTTATTTAACATATAAGATTACTTGGCTCAACAAGTGACACATTTTTATATGCATTCATCTAGGCCTACTTTTTTTAACGGTTTTAATTTAAAAATGACTTGGTAGCAGAGGGCCCCATGATGAAGCTCCGCCCCCACTGTACTGAGAGTCTAGCTCCGCCCCTGCTGTAAGACCTTCGTTCATCTTCGGAACACAAATGAAGATATTTTTGGTTAAATTTGAGAGGTGGATCACTACCACATAACAACTATAAGTTTATCAAGCGACGAGAATACTTTTTGTGCGAAAAAACAAACAAAAATAACGACTTTATTCGACTATTCCTTTTCTTCCTTGTTGGCCTGAAAAGAGACTTCCATAGATTTCCACGACGCATGCGCGAGAATTGCGATCTCCTTACACTACTTCAGTTCAGTTCTCGCGCATGCGTCGTGGAAATCGTATTGAAGTCTCGTCTCAGGCCAACAAGGAAGAAAAGGAATAGTTGAATAAAGTCGTATTTTTGTTTGTTTTTTCGCACAAAAAGTATTCTCGTCACTTGATAAACATATAGTTGAGCCACGGTAGTCACATGGGATATTTAAACATTTTCTTCATTGACTTTCTGGGCCGACAAGAGTCATTCCCTTAGGAGCCAATGTGGTAGTTATACAGCTCTCAGATTAAATCAAAAATATCTTCATTTGTGTTCCGAAGACGAACGAAGGTCTTACAGGGTTGGTACAGCATGGGGGTGAGTAATTAATGACTTAATTTTCATTTTTGGGTGAACTAACCCTTTAATTTGGATAAGTTTTAGCTTACCTCAAGGGCATCCAAGATGTAGGTGTCTTTGTTTCCACAGTATTTTCAATTTAGATATTTTTAGATCAAATCGTTCTTGTCTGACAGTCATATAATGGAGGTATATGGGGTCCACCCATGGGTCCACCTCAAAGAGCATGCACAGAGTCCAAATTAGTCCAAATTAAACATGATTTAATGACGTAAATGTAAGTACACATTGATGGCCTACGACACGAAACAAGCGGTTTGTGTGAGAAAATGAACGGTATTTATACCTCTTGTAATCACAGTCACGTCCAAGTACGAGGGCCCTTGAGGTAAGCTAAAACATATCAAAAATTAATTTCAAAGTGAACTATCCCTTTAAGAGCTTCAAAAAAAGTTTGAGTTGTTGAGATCTATATGTGTACCGAGTTTCATACAAATATATTCTTGTATGTGTCCAAGATTTCAGATCCCATTCTAGGAGGTGCTGTAGAGCCGCCGACACGGCCGTGTACCAGCTTTGGCCCAGTTCTAATGGTTGTGGATTATGACCAGTGTGCAAATTTTCAAGAGTTTTTTAGCATGTTAAGGGCAACAAAAGCCCCCGAAACCTTGACGAAAAAGAAGAAGAAGTAGTATCTTAAGGAAAACAATAAGCCCTTTCAGGGAAACTAACAGAACTAAACATAACCCTGACAACCCAGTGTACTGCCCGGACAAAGGCCCACAGCAGAACTCTTGGTTGGAGGAGCCAGGGTGGGATCGGCGTGTCAGGGCAGAGCGAAGCTAAGGAGACACAGAGACCGGGCGATGCTGTAGGTCCTGGAGGCCAAGGCGGAGCCACGGAGGAGCCAGGGTGGAGCCAGGGTGGATCAGGGCACAGCCGGTGGGACTCGAGGCGCCAGAGGGAAGGTGGAAATCCGTGGCACAGACAGAGCGATGACTGAGCAAGGCAGAGCCAGAGGGACAAGGGAGCCCCGTGGAGCCGCAAGGACGACGGTCCCAGAGGGGTTTAAGGGGTGGAGGAGCCAAGGTGGAGCCGACTGGTCAACAGACAGGGGCTCAGAACAGGTGAACAGAAGAACAGAACTCACTCTCTGTCTTGAGACAGGAAGGGCCGAGGCGCATTCGTGCAGCATAGAGGACCGAACAGAGGAGGAGCCGAGGAACTAAAAGGAACCAGTAGACCGGCTTGCTTAGGTGGAGGAGGTGGGAGAGGAGGGCTGGGTGGGCCATCAGAGAAGCAGGAGAGGGTGAGACCAGCGGAGAGATGAGACTAGAACCTTTTCCAGTTCTGAGTCCAGAGTGGGGTTGGCAACATCTTCCTCCGCGGGACAGATGGTGAACGCCGATCCACAATTCACTAGCACTCACTCCATAAAAGCAAGTAATGTCCCTCGAGGACCATCGAGCAGTAAACCTGGCCACTCATCTATAGCATTACAACTGCCATTTTAAGACAAATGTGAATATAATTTGTCATTAAATTATACTGTATTACTCAATAATAATTCACGAATACTGAAGCTGTAACCAAAATTACTGAAGCAAATTAAAATGCAGTTAATCTAATGATCAATGAAGATCAACTCTTACCTGAATCTCATTGGCCAGTGCCATGTCAATCATATGGCTGAAGGAGTCGCTGACGTCAGTCAGGATCTCGTGAATGGCCTCCTTCATGGATTTGAGGAAGTATTCGTCCTCCGTATGAAGACACCTGAGGAGTAAACAGTGTCAGATATGTACATGATCTGATCTGTAAGACGACGAAGGAAGGTGTGTTCTTCACCTCTCGGTAATGACGTTGAGCTCCATGCACTTCTCCAGCAGCGATTTCTCATACTGCCATGAAGAGAAGAGAACATACAATCAGTCTTCAGTAAAATGCGTTTGTTATATGTGATTGAAGGCTTTTTGTTTTGACATGTTCAGCACCTTCTGCATGTCTGCAGGAGCGCTCCTGGCCGTGCTGTACTCCTGGATGAGCGAGCGCACGTGAGCGCTGACCCTGAGGGCCGTGCTGTGGACCCGCTGCCAGCGCCGCTTCTCCAGCCGCTGGAACATCTTGCCCAGCTCCGTGCTGACCACCAGCGCCCTCTTCAGCAGCGCCTGCAGGTTATCCCGGGTCACCTGCTCGCCCACCGACACGATGAGCTCCCCTGGGGCGTCTTCATCCACACCGAGGGGCTTGGACTGCAGGACACACATGCACTCCACCTCCGTCATGTGACGCAAGTCCTCCATCCAGCGCTGCACAGAGTCCACCTGTATCACACACCTGCTGACACACACACACACACACACATCAGTCCATCACACACACCTGCTGACACACACACACACACACATCAGTCCATCACACACACACACACACATAGGTTGTGTTCTTCTATGGTACTGTGGTGTCATGAGTGTCACGGCGCAGAACGACAGGAACAGGAAAACATCGACACAGATTTCACCGGTGCTGTGTGTGTGTGTGTGTGTGTGTGTGTGTCCGTCAGCAGTGTGTGTGTGTGTGTGTACGAGCAGAAACTGAAGAGCTAAATTGGTGTGTGTACACTGATAGGAGACACATGTTTGTGTCAGCAGATTGCTCGTGTGATGAGTGTGTGTGTGTGTGTGTGTTCATGCTAAGCTAATTACAATGAAGTTGAATAAATCTGGTGTGTGTCATTATTTTATACTCCGAATTGTTATTGTTTCTGTAAAGAAATGTGTAGAAATCATCGTTTGATGGTGTGTTTATTAGCAAGCCCTTCTGAACAAAACATCACAACGGTGTGTGTGAGCGGATCATCATGATAATGGGTTTATCTGAATGGATGTGGAGGAAAAGCTGCTCTCCAGCACAAATATTTACATTTGCAGCCGTCGACGGGTCAGACAGCACTGCGCACAGCGAGTCATCATCAGAGCAAACACACACACACACACACACACACACACACACACTGCTGGAGTTCAGGGAAGGTCCTCAATCTTTCCTACATAGACAAATCCTTTATACTCAGAAATGATGGTGATTCTGCAAGCTGTGTTTGACGTCATATAGTTTAACGCGGGTTTGAAACACACACACACACACACACACACACACCTTTATGTGTGTTCCTCCCGACACGAGTCTCCGTGAAGATGTGCTTTGTGGAAAAACACACATATCTTGAGTTGAACACTTCTGTCATGTTTGTCTTACTCGTTATGTCAGAGTACACCTACAGTCTCACACATGCATAATTCAGCTGATCTGCACACACACACACACACACACAGATAAACGTGGCGTTCTCAGACACGATGCAGATGGAGGACAGCCTGAATCTCCAGTCGGATGCTTTGAGTCGAGCCGTCAGAAGAAGCGCTGCATTATTCATGCTCTCCCTCAACTTATTGACATGAACGTATTCTGAGCTTTCTGGCCTGTTTTTGAGTGACATCACAGATGAAATGAATGGAGTCTGTTGTTCAATCGCAGGTAAGAGTGTGTGTGTGTGTACAGATGGAGGATGCGGTGGAGCTCAGACAAGCACCTGTGTGAACCGCTGGTGTGTGCAGTGATAATTGTTCATCAGGGGGGGTGAGACAAACATAAGTGAGCAGCACAATACACACACACACACACACACACACACACACACCCCTCCACCTGCTGTCTGCTGGAGCGACCAGCTGCAAAACACAAGGGCTTCGCTTCATTTACACACACATCAATGTTTCTGTGCATGAATGACACTCATGAGCTGAACACAAACTGAAGATGCAGGACAAACACATTCAGGGGATTTCTGTCATTTATTCACTCAGTAGCCTACGAGAGCGAATTCAGTGCAAAAACAATAAAAATACACAATAAATAAATGCAGCTGAATATTCTATGGATGCGTGTGATATTTGGGGTGATTATTTATTATTGTTTATTGGTGGTTGCTCATATTATCTGCCGTGTGTGTATTATCATACACATTTTGTCTGTTTAAATGTCAATGACACGCATGTCTCGTAAAGCTGATATATTCCATGATGTCAGCCAAGTCCACAGTGATTACAAGCTGTTTGGTTTCATTTCGTTGACATGAATTTGTCATTTCTTTTTAGTCAAGATATCAGGGCTGTGTTTGGATGGCTATTAGACGTCTTTTAATTGTAATTTACACGAAGTTCTGATCTGCTAATCATTATGTAGCCTAATGTGTAATAAGTTCATTAGTAAACATTAACACATTGTATCATATGTATAACTATGTGAATATAGATTAACTAATGAGGCCCTATTTTAACGATCTGAAACGCAAGTGTCAAAGCGCAAGTACCTTTGTGGGCGGGTCCCGGCGCTGTTGCCGTTTTCCCGGCGGGATAAATGCCTCTTGCGCCTGCCGCAAATCTAAAAGGGGTTGGTCTGAAGTAGCTTCATTATTCATAGGTGTGGTTTGGGGCGTAACGTGAAATAAACCAATCAGAGCGCCATCCAACATACCCTTTAAGAACAGATGCGCATGTTGCATGACGGATTGTTATTATAACGACGGGTTTACCAGGCGGAGCGTTCACAGCCGATGAGACCGACGCTCTCGTCAGGACAGTGAAAGACAGAGAGGTGACGGTGTATGGGGATGGAGAAACTCTCGCACATCAGCGGCGGTTAAACATTATATACGTATGTGTCTCGCCACTATCGGGCAAACAGGTCTGATCCTTCAGTACTACAATTAGCCTTAAAAAATAAGGTGTTTTCATCTTCATGTAAACCACAATGATTTCCCTCATGTGTTAATAATTTTCCTTGTTATAATGTATGATTTGTAAAAATAAAAACTGCTGCATCTGTGTTGATGAGAGAATCAAAGTGTATGTGCGCTGTGCACCCGCTGCATTATGGCCAAGCATGCGCTCTTAAAATAGCATTATGAACAACACGTCACTGACTTTAGAGCAGGTGTTTTCTGATCAGTGGCGCAATTGTGTTCTGGAAGTGTAAAATAGCACCAGGGAATGTTTGTGCCGAAACACGTCTCCTTTTAGCGCCGGGGAGCGCAAGTTCATTCCCTAGTTTACCCACGTGCGTCTGTGGGGGGAAAAGCCTGCTCTGCGCACGTGCAAAATAGGCATGAGACCTGCGTTTGTGTATAAAGTCATTTGTGCCGGGTGCAAGATAGGGCCCCCGATCTGTTAAGCATTATGTAATGTTTGTAAATTATATATTAATGAAAGTTGTTATAAAGAGTTTGGCTTCTTTTATTTATTTTCTAAAAGAGAATGATGATTGGACTGATAATGTCACTTACATTTTGCCAGAGATTGAGGAGTAGCTGCTCTGTCTGGAAGTCTGTGGCGTGGCCATTCTCACGGTGTCCTCCTCACTTCAACACACCACCTACAAACACAATACACACATCATAAAGAGCTCACAAAACTCAACACCACCTACAAACACAATACACACATCATAAAGAGCTCACAAAACTCAACACGCCACCTATAAACACAATACACACATCATAAAGAGCTCACAAAACTCAACACACCACCTACAAACACAATACACACGTTAGAGCCACACAGTAAACACACAGCAAGGCTTAAGCCCGTGCGGAGCCGTCGAGTGATGCTCTGCTGCCATCTAAAGGCTGTACTTGTAAAATTCTATTTGTAAAAGTGTTTGTTTTCCAGTAGGTGGCAAGAATCTTCCACTGAACCAAATTTGTTCATTAGTGAATGATTGACTGTATAAGCAAGTAGTACATTCGTTAAGTATTCACGTACAAATGTGAAGTAATGAGGATTTTTTTTCTCTCACACAGGACAGCAACACTGCAAAAACGTCTTTTACAGTATGATGCATTGAGTAAACTACTCAACAGTAAAGTACTTTAACTATAACACCCATCACATTCAGAATTAAAATGCAACACACACATAGCACAGCAGTAATATAAATGCAACAACAACTGGGTCGCCTGATGCACTTTTAGAAGGAGCTCGAATGCAACTGTAGAAGCGGACCGATATTCATCAGAAGTGAATCTCACAAGATCTGAGGATCCACTGGTATACTGGGCTCAACATAAACATCAGTATCCTCATATACACCAGCTGACACAGGCATTTTTATGTTCCCCGCATCCTCTGTTCCATGCAAAAGGATCTTTTCCAAGGCTGGAGAGGAAGAGGAATCATCTAAGCCCCAACACACTTGATAAAATTCTGTTCCTCAATAAAAATAATGCGTAACCCTTCCTTCACCCACCCCAGACTGCAGTGTTGCAGTTTGTTCCTCTATATCCGCAGACCCATAAGCACAACACTGCACTAAAACAGTTCACTGTACAAACCCCGCCAGCAACAAATCTTAGCCTTTCTCAGCCCACACTTTACACTCCCTCCACCAGAAGCACTGCACTCAACACTGGGTCACTTTTATTGTTCATACTGTCACTATCCAAACAATTTATGAATAATTAATTAACTGTGTGTGACAGTAGTCTCTGTAAATTACAAGTAAACATGTCAATTCAGACAGAGAAAGAAACATTTCATTTGATACCCAGGCAATGGACAAATGTCTAGTCAGGTCATTGGTCCAGAAGGTTCAATATTAATATCAATGCTGAATGAAGCTTAGAGTAATGAACCTTTGGGTGAAGCAATGGGCTACGAGGTCTCAGTGGTTCAGGAAGCCCCATTTTGCCATCACTACCGAGGGGAAAAACAAAACTGATTTGAACGACTAGACTAGACACAGCAGGGAAACACCCCGTGTACATACGAAGACAAACCACCACAGGACTGAAGACAACAGGAGAAATAGGGAAGCAAATAAAGGAGGGTAACGAGGGAGGACAGGTAGGGCAAATAAATCAATAATCAGGAAACAAGATGGCCGGGATTAGACTATCGACAGGAGAGCACACGGCACAAACACACACGACCAGCATGTGTTCACACCAAACATGACTAAAACAAAAGCACATTCCCAGTAAAACCAATAACCAGCCACGTTCACGCAACAAGACATGAACACTCAGCAAATGAAAACACTCATAAGCCACGTGTTCACACAGAGCATGACAACATGAAAGCCCACAGCCATTGTGAACACAAGCTGTGCACGACACAGCACAAGACAACACATGACATCACAGACCAGGAGACAGACCAGACGACACAGACCAGATGACACAGACCAGACGACACAGACCAGACGACACAGACCAGACGACACAGACCAGACGATACAGACCAGACGACACAGGAGTGCCAGGGCTCTGTCACAAAACCAAGAAATAGTGACAGAAGTGACAGAACCCTGACAACATATCTTTCTTTTAATATTTATTAAATATTTTTATAAATATTTTTAATAAATATTCTATATGTTATATAGGAAAAATATTAAATAGGAAAAAAATGTATTTGTACATTATATACTGACATATATTTTTGGATCTCATTCTATTAATCTGTGATTGCACTTGATGTCTGTTGTATTTGTGGAGCTGGGCACAGTTTGTAGTCTTGTGTGATTGTAATGTAGTGTTTGCTATCAGAAGAGCAGCGCTGCTGTGTGTTGTTGGTGTAAATGCAGATGTAGCGGTGAGTGACGTGTGGTTTCAGTGATCTTACTGCGGTCGAACGGTTCATCTCCCTCCACTGATCTAAATCGAAGAGCTTCTATTCTTGTCCTGTCCTTTCCTCTATAGTAATTATATTACTATGCCAAAAGAATATGCCTTATCTTCTGATTACTGGCAGAACGCCATCCAGTGACTCAGTAAGCTTTAGTGCTCATTCCATGCTATTTATTGATGTATCCCATTTACATTATTCAATTTACTCAACCTGTTAACCACGGAAGCCTGTGCTCTCTCCTGAATCGGGTAATGGCATCCAGCAGGAGGGTTGAACTTTACTCGTCTGTGCTGAAGGTTGACATCTATGACCTGGGACTATGAACAATCATGTAAAAATACAACAACAACAAAACCCTTCAGAGCTTTATAAAATGAGCCGGAACAATTTTGACACTCCATTTTCTCTAAATCTGAACATGGTTGAGCCAAACCTGCAGATCAGAGGATAGACGAAGAGAAGCGATTTCAGGCTCAGTTTCCACAGAATGTCTCGTTACTGTGCTTTGCCTCTTCAGGCCATTAATCACTGAAAATCATTACTTGTAGGATTTACTTGATAAAACACATTTTAAGTAAATTTTATTGCTACTGCTCTGTACAACTTACTTTGAAATTTAATTGACACTTAAAGGAGAACTCCGGCGAACAATGAACCTTTGGTCTAATAAAACATCGGTACACAGTCAACCGTTCTCTGAGATTTGTTTTCATGATAATCGAATGTAAAGAGTTTTATCTCTAAAAACTGTTTAGCGTATAATGCTAGTAATGGGGGCATTGACTAAGTAAAGAAATGGCTAGTTTATACCACTAACAAGGCTCAAAATAGCCCCACACTAACACAGTAACATAATGAGGGTCTCTGCATGCAAAACGAAGCATTGAGAACTGTGTAAGTGTTCAGACCGTTTAATAAGAAGATACTTTATGAAGAAAGATCACTTCGAGTATACAGACAGGAGCCATCTTAGAAAATAGTCTCGATAAGTCGATCCCCGAACGCCGTTCACACAGTTCAGCTCACTCAGCTCGACGTTCGTGGTTTGACTTATCGAGACTATTTTTTAAGATGGCTCCTGTCTGTATACTCGAAGTGATCTGTCTTCATAAAGTATCTTCTTATTAAACGGTCTGTACACTTACACAGTTCTCAATGCTTCGTTTTCCATGTAGCCTATGGACCCTCATTATGTTACTGTGTTAGTGTGGGGCTATTTTAGGGCTGAACGATTAATTGCATTTGCGATAAAATCGCGATATGATGAAACGCGATTTTGTAATCGCAAGAGCTGCGATTACACTGGTCAGTGACACGCGAGAGAAAAGCAGTCTGCAAGATAAAGCATCAACTTGCCACGCTACGCGGTCTGGCGTCCAGAAAAGAACAGTTTATTGTGTTATTTATTCTCTCCTCTCCTCAACAATCCTGGATCGATTCAGAGAATTTCAGAATCGAGTATGAGCTTATAGTTTTTAAACAGATGCGTGATGACGCTGCGCGTGCTTTAGAAACGAACCGGGTTCTGAATCTGCTTGCTTGTATTTCTTCTCTCTTCCTCACTCACACACTCGACACCGCTCGAACCTTCCAAAACATAGTAACGTTATTTTATAACGGTCGGGGTTGAACCAAATTACAAGGACATTCGCGGGCTTCATTGAACAGGTTTTGCCGCTTTGCTTGATGTTATAACGTTACACTTGCAGTGCGCGTTCTCTCCCGCGGGAATTTTCTTTACAAATGCTTCACAGAGGCATTATTTATGTCTTTTGGAATGCAGTTGGCTTATATATTAAAACCATGAAAATCACTGAGAAGGCTGCTTTCATTTTAAAATACTAACGCGTGCTTTGTGAAGAGCGCTCGTGCATGCGGCCGTGAGCGACTCATTGGTAAATGTACTTGCATGTCAAAATGCTTTTATGACGCGAAATTAATGTAAACACGGTCAGTTATATCTTAAACCAACAGGACAAACCACATTTACAATTTGAAAAGAGATATGTGCATTAGTGTGAATGCAGCTTATCGTATCTAAACTGAGGGGAAATCACTCCAGCTCTTGAATGAAAAACATTCAGACAGCCTACTTTTAAATACTGAGACCACTAGGGTTAGGGTTTATTGCTTGTAATGGTTTTTTTTGTTTCTCTTTATTTACTAGCTTTTATATTTTGAAGCTATATTATTTTATATAGCCTATTTAAAATTCTTAACATGTAATTGGTTTAATTAAATGTTTTTTTATATTTATTTTTTAAAGTATGTGTTTTTACACATGTAATTAAATGCATATTTTAAGAGTTATTAAGATTAATTAATAAGAAAAAAAGTAGATCAGATCATGAGCTATCTAAAGATTCCCATCCCTACTGTACAATGATTTATTGCTTGTCTTTGTCGACTAATACAGAAGGTAAATAACTTTTTTTTTTAAATCGCATATTAAATCGCAATCGCAATATTGGTTAAAAAAATCGCAATTAGATTATTTTCTAAAATCGTTCAGCCCTAATTTTGAGCCTTGTTAGTGGTATAAACTAGCCATTTCTTTGTACTTAGTCAATGCCCCCATTACTAGCATTATACGCTAAACAGTTTTTAGAGATAAAACTCTTTCCATTCGATTATCATGAAAACAAATCTCAGAAAACGATTGACTAGGTACCGATGTTTTATTAGACCAAAGGTTCATTGTTCGCCGGAGTTCTCCTTTAACATTTAATGAAGTAATAACGTAAATATTACTTTTTTATATTTAATTTCACATATAGAATCAAGCAACATCAACTTCAATTTAGTTTGTTTAAGTTTTTGCTTAAACAATGCAACTGAACTAAACCACACTTTAAAAACATCTAAGTAAATAAAACAATAGATATTGTATATATATTCCATACTGTATCTACATAATAGAAGTAACATGGCACAGAGACCTCAATACTTGATACACAATACCACCAAACCTAACAACAAAAGCAATGATAAAACGGTGTTAATAGAGCTGGAAAACAGTGAAGAATCAACCTTATTAATTATTAACATCCCAGTGCATGATGGGAAAACCATTAGAAAAGTTGAGTAGGTTTCACCTTATTACATTTCGCTGATATTTTTACACTTTAATTTCTACAAGCTTGAATTGAGTACTAATATAGTATTTACTTTGTTTTTTTGAATTCTTGCCTGAACTAACTTTTTCATGTAGAAATTGCATTTGTTTTTTCTGTAGCATTTACTTCACCACAGAATCATTTTTATCAGTGCTGTTACACAAAGACTACACACATCCTGCGCAACAAACCTCACAGAAATGCACACATCTGGCTTTTGTCTTTCTTGGTATGAAACGCATCAAAGCGTCATGACAATTTAGACTCATGTAATTCCACAAAATGAGTCAGATTACAGAAGCAATCAAATCCTAAATTCCAGTGATCTAGATCTCAGGAGTTCTGCTTCAAACGGGACCGTTCCACTGAAAGCTCTCTCTCTCTCTCTCTCTCTCTCTCTCTCTCTGTTTTCCTCGAGAGCGCTTATTAAACTCCTACAACATGAAGAACACGAGTCAAGCATGTCATGACCAGCAGCGCTCGACGAGTGCCGTGTCAAGAGCCATTGAAAATGATCTAGCCATTTCACTAGAGAGCCAATTTCACTGGAATCAAGTGATTTGATTTTGTGATGACGAGCGAAATAGTGGGATTTACTCATCTTGTTAGGTAGATGTAGCTGTATAAGGCAGAGACCTTGGCTTTATTTGTCCACGTCTTGCAGGAAACTTTCTGAAACGGAAGATTCACTCTTGGGTCTCAGAGATTCAGTTGAGTCTCTGTACTCAAATAATATTTGCAATCCAAAACCATATTTGTGATGAAAGATGTACATTTCTATAGATATACAGCAGACTTAAGCACTCCAGAAGCTTTGAGTCTATTCTAATTTATAGCCGCCACACCAAATCAATGATGATTTCAGCATATTAATATCAGAAACACAAGGGGAACACATTCAGGTGTTCGGCATATGCAGGGTTCACTCGCTCTTGGCCAGGTCCAGATCAAATGCAGAACAGACGTCAGGTCGTTTTCCACAGGAATGAAGTGTTTCTTCCACGGACGGACCGCAGTAGCTTACACACCCAGCGAACGGTCAGAGTCATTAGAGACAGATCTCTTTAACCCTCTTAAA